TACTGTCCCCCAAGCCCGTCTACATTGTATGGGCGACAGGGCCTTCTCCTGCTATGCCCCCAAGCTCTGGAACTCTTTGCCCAAGGATATTAGAGAGTCACCTTCTCTAAACTCCTTCAAATCCAGACTCAAAACCTTCTTCTTCAGAAAAGCCTTTACTTAACTGGTTCCATTCTTCACCCCTCTGCTCTTCTTAATACCATCTTCCACGGTCTCCTCTATTGTTATTGTTGTATTGTTGTAATTATAATTGTGTCCTGTCTTGTGAAATTTTCTTATTTATTGTTGTAGTCTTCTTACTTATTGTTATTGTCATCCTGTAAAGCGCTTTGAGAAGCCACCTTTAAAGGCGCTATATGAAATAAAGTTTATTATTATTATTCACAGTTATACGTTACCTTTTTGTTAGGACTGGCTGATACTGTTAAGAGAAGCCCTAAACTTATTTTCAAAGACCTTTGCCAAACAAACAACCAATAGGATATTCAAACTAGAATAGAAGGTGGAAAAAAAGGTGCTTCCAATAGGTAAGTCAGCAGTGTATGCTGTACATTTATCAAACTTATTTTTCTAGGTTTTCATTTTTAATTACTTTCAGAATGTTTGAACATTTGTTTTGCACTTGGAGGTTCTCTTACAATGTGTAGATAAAGGTAAAATAAATTCTGAATTAATGTCTGGATTTCAGGCTGTCAGGCCACAAAATGTGTTCTTTTGCAAAAGGCTTTGTAGATTTTTAGAGGTAGTGTATATTTCTGGAAAGATGAAATAAACATGAAGCATCCTAAAATAAACTTTATTTTAATGTACCTAGAGAATGTCTGTCCTTAACAAAATCCTTATAATTCTCCTTGTGCTGTCATACTTACCACTGCACAAGCTGCACAAGTACCTTGAATTTCCTTGCTACTGGATCATTGCAGAGCTTGGTGGGATACAATCTGGGATAAATCTTCTGTTATGTATAAACCTATTACTTCATTTACAGAAGATTTACATTTCTCCCAGCTGAATCAACTGGTGTAAAGGTGTTTACCTGAAGGCATTTTGAGCTGTGGGATTGTGGTACTGTAGGTTTGAACTGGGTCTTTAGCAGACTGTGACTGTGATTCTCCAAGCAGCAGTACTCAATTTTTCTCCAAGGGCAGTATGGGAACTGCATTGGCTTGCAACAACACAGCGACCCCTGTGGCCTGCCAGGCAATTGCAAGCATGCGGTGCTGTCAGTGAGGGGCCTGCCTCTCCTCCAGTGTGTGAAAAGACAAGTGAGGTAGGCGAGTCAGGGAAGTCTGTTTGCACTTCCTCATTCTCACCAATGTGCCATCATTAGGTTCGGACGTGGGAGAAATGTGGAAAACAATCAACTATAACTAATATAGTTTCTGATTTTAAATGGGGGGGGGGGGATCCTTTCTTCTTTGTAGTGACATTTTTTTCACTACAGCCTAAACGTGTTCTAATGTAGATCTGACTTGTATTAATATGCTCCATATATTTGCTTAATTCTGGACATGCGGTGCTACATCTGCATGGAGTTTGTATATTATCCCCGTTTGTGTGGGTTTTCCTTTGAGTGCTCTATTTTCCTTCCACAGTCCAAAGACATGCGGGTAAGTTAACTGGTTACTGGAAAAAAACGTCCCTTTGTGTACTGTATGTGTGTGTATCTGTCTGTGTCCTGCAATGGACTGGCGTCCCATCCGGGATATATCCTGCCTTGTGCCCCATGCTTCCGTGGTTAGAATCCAGCTGCCCCCTGACCTTGTACTGTTTAAAATCGGGTAGAAGATGGATGGATGGATGAATCTATTTAAACTTGAGAGTACTTTATCTTTCATTAGCAATTTTTCAAGTGTTTTGCGAAACCAGATTGCTTATTACCTATTACCATGGTGTTGCCCATTTCGGTTGTAGGGGAGATGAATGAATACCTACTTCCATCTCCATTTGTGACTCCAATATGGGGCTGAAAGGCTTCCTCATATAGGACAGTTGTATGCCTGAGTAATTCTAAATTGTTTTTTCTTTTAATAAAACTAAAATTAGAAAATTAGAAAACTTCATGCATTTTTTACATAAAATGTTGCAGGGATATGAGCCAAACTACCCTTCCCCATTGCTGTTTCTTACAAGAAATGGCTCGACGAGATCACCAAATCAATTGGCTACAAGCACCCAAACAAGCTAAAGGGACCAAATGCCTCTTGCTCATTTGTAGTCCTTCTTCTGTTCTAATTGAAATACTGAAATTTTATAACCCCCCTTTTCAAAAAAAGAATTTGGAGCCAATTTAAAAAAAACTTGTATATGGACAGATAAGTCAAAATTAATAGCCACTGAATAATTACACTTACGGTATACTGTATAGCGGTTTTCTGGACACTCCACTCAAAGTGCCTTTCAGATAATGGGGGCTCCCCTTCACCACCACCAATATGCATCATCCATATGGATGATGCAACAGCAGATATAGTGCGCCAGTATGCGCACCACACATCAGCTATCAGTGGGGAGGAAAACAGTGATGAAGACAATTCACAGATGAGGATTATTAGGAGGCCATGATTGGTAAAGGCCAATGGGAAATTTGGCCAGGATGTCGGGGTAACACCCCTACTCTTTTCGAGAAACACCCTGGATAAAAATTCAGATTTGGGCATACTCATCTAGTGTTTTGAGTAAATGTAGTAGAAGAAATGCAAATGTCTAGTACTAATGTGATGTTTGCAAAAGATGTGCAAAAACTTAAGCTTTAATGAACCTGTTTTATACAGAGCCGCAGAAACAAAATTGTACAAAATTAAATAAGATTAAAGTGTTAAATGGCAACTCTTTTTAAGTTTATAAAAGTGAATTCAAAGACAAAATCTAATATGAGCAGGGAGATCCAGAGCTTTTGGAACAGAACATAAAGTCATGTCAAAAAAGATAAAACAGCAGTAGGTGTCCAGGGAGATAACTGATGCAGAAATCAAACCATACAAGCCACAAAAGGTGAATTGAAAATACTTTAAATGTACTAACTTAATACTGAAATTCACATGAAGCCAATGCAAAGAAAGTAAAACACTCATACAGAATAGTTTTAGTTAAGCAGCAGACACAACAAGCAGACTTTAACAACATTAATATAATCGAGTCTGGAAAGGAAACACATGAATATGTTTCTCTGCAGGAAATAGGAAATTACATGGATACAAGTTGACAGCTCTGTGCACAAGTCTAAAAATCAAGACTCACATTACACATTCCAGACCTTAGTCTTAGTCTTATTATTAATGTCATGGTAAACCATCTAAAGTTGACACTGTTGTGTAGCTGAGGAGAACCGATCTTTACCGAGTTCAGATGTGAAACGGCCATTTTTAACACCAGTGAGAAAAAACAAACCATATTTGATTAAGTTTTGCAAACATAAATGTATCATTGGCATAAAAATGAAAATAGATGCTACGCCAACACCTCAAGTGACCCAAAAATAAAATTTACAGTAGGTATTAATAAGAATTGGACCAATAATATTATCCAAGAAAAGAACATACCAGATATTATAATAACAGCTTTTCTAAAATTTGTGATAAAGTATGTTTTTATACATGTACATATACAGTACATGTATAAAAACATGTATACATGTATTTTATAGGACATCTTATCAGTTATATAGCTTTGAATAATGTGTCTGTGATAAGCTGTTCAGTTAGCTGTACATAGAAATGTATATGTACCTTCTAAAGAAGAAATAAACATACATTAGTAAGACAGTTATAGTCATGATACTTTATTTTAACAGCTGCAAATTGAAGATAAAACATAAATGGAAGCCAAATAAGTCTTTCAAAAGAAAGGGGTTCAAAAGAACAATGTAAGCCCCCAAAAGGTGTATTAAATTAAAGTGAAACTGCAACTGTTTCACAATAAACGCCACACAAAGACACAAAGACAGTGTTACCAGTATCTTAACTACAAACCAAAGTCAACATTTCTGAACTGAGGCACTATTTAAACTTGGCCTGTGTATTTGAACACAGCCTGCATTTCTATCAGTTCTTGTATATACTTTGTTTTCATCTCTCCTCTCCAGGTTCAAACACAAACTTTAATTTGAAGCAAAGCCTGGTAAATTTGTTGAAATAGTTTAGCTGTCATATAGCGCCATCTGGGGGTGAATTCAATAAGCTGCTCATCTACATCACTTTTATTTTTTACACCAAAATGTTTTTGAAGCATTTACATTTGACAAAATGATGAGATATAACATAGTAACACAAAAATAAAAATGACACATTTTATGAGCTCTAAAATGAAGTTGTGTGGATGTCTTCACAATGTAATAAACACAATGCAGAATAGGGAAAGCCTGTCATATAAAATGAATAATTAGAACTTTCAGCTTTTAACATTTATTCTTTTCCTCTACTTGCCTCTAATATGTTTCACTTGCATTTTAAACATATGGCCATTTCTTAAAGTGGTAATACTGTAACGGGAAATAACATAACATAACATAACATAGAAACAGTTAAAGGGGAACTGCATTCCAATTTATCAGACCAGTTATTAAATCTTGGTAACAAATTCATAGAGATGATAAAAAATTACACATTTCGAATTAAGCCCAAAATTGTGAACTTTGTGAAAGTACTGTAAGTTGCCATGTTGTCACAAACCCAAGTTTGCACCAATTGTGACGTGAAGTGACCCTTCCTGCTCACTAGTCACTGTAATGTGATGTACGAGCGAATAACTACAGGTTGTGCAGCAGAAATTTAACCACAGAAAATTTCCGATGTGATCTGCATGTAGAGTTAACAAGAAAGCTCCCTTTATCGGTAAAACCATCTCGAAGTCGAGAACAATATTTCTATTGGATTAAAAGAGATGTATTCACAATCCTGCTTGTTTACAATGTCACAGTGCCACTTCACGTCACCGGAAGTTTTGTTGCCTCATTCTGAATCACAGAATATAGCGCTCCACATACCTGGAAATGTAATTTATTTTTTAATGTAAATCGGAGGTCTTACAAGTTACTGTGTACATTTTACTTCTATTGAGATTTGAAATGCACTTTTTGCCTAATCTTTCTAACCATGAAGTACAAAAAAAGAGGTGCAGTTTCCCTTTAAGAGGATAAATTAGTCTTTTGTGTCTTGAGAGACTGTGATTTAAATTGCTAAGAGGTTATACACCTGTGAAATTGAGCAACAGCTATGTTTGTTTTTATTTCTGCAGAGAATACATTCACTGAAATCAGTCTCTTAGCTATTCAAATGATCTTTTATTTACCTAAAGCAAATTAAAGGTAAGTATTTCAGTGAGAAAAATGTTTAGAGCTGGTAGTCCTGTGCACAATTAAATGAATCCACCCCTATGTTTGCCTCCTGTCCAGAAAAGTCTCATTCATAGCAACCTCCAACTGCAAATTAATTTGTCACACAACCATAACCTTATCAATCCTTGTGGCTTTCTTTGCAGACAAGACAGATAAGCAATGAAACACATCCAACATTTTCTACAAGACTATACAATTGATTGGTGACATTTTTGTGAGACTTTGCACTAAATCAGGACCTGAAAAAGTGATGTCACAAATCTTTTTAGTTATATCACAAATTACAATTTTTTTTTTGTATTCAATTATCGATTTATATAAAGGGTTTGCACGTTTAACCTGTGATCCCTGGTGGGCATGGTTTTCTTTATAATTGTTAAATAACGCCTGCTGCCAATGAAGATCCAATGTCTGTGTTACAGTACCATATTTACACCCATTCAACCAACTATATCACCAATTTCTAAACAGCAAAATATCTCTATTTTATTTTAGTTTTTGAATGTCAATAGGTCATCTACGTATACTTGTTCTAAGAGTATACATCTACACAATTAACACAGCTTGCAATAATACCACAATGCTAGTCACTAAAATAACTTGAGTGTAACATGAATGAGTAAAGCTCGTTTGACTATCCCCATTCTGCCTACATGTGTAACTCTACACCTTGTTTGACCAGGCACAGGAATAAGACAGACCTTGCAAAATGCAAAATAATAAACCACATTAGAACAGCCCAATCCACATCTTCCAATGGGCCTCTGTGCATTTATATGGCCGATTGTCTCTGAACTAATTTTACAATGCAAAATAAATATTTAAAATTATAATTAGACTATGATCATTTCAGAACACTTCCACATCTGTAAAACTAAAATAGATTGTCTCCAGAAATGTGCTGTGATTCCCCTTTCCATTGCTCAAATGACTGTTCACTATGGCAGGAAAGGAAATTCAAAATGTCCTTTTTTTTTTAATTTGGACCCCTGAGCATTACAGCTTTAAAAAGGTACTAACTGTACCTTATGAGCAGAAAGCAAAGCATGAAATGCTAAGCTAAGATAGCACAGGTAGTACATGGAACACCAGCACTAATAAATGAAATAATCTAAACATAACCACTAAACAGTCTATACAAGTCCCAGATATACAGTAGTAGATGTCCCAGAATCTAAAATTCAGCTTACCCTTCTAGTATTAACAACTCTACACAACAAAAAGCAATCCTTCCTAAACTTGAGCCCTTTGCAATGGTCTATAAAACTAGATAAAAATAATGGTCAAATGTATTATTTTTCTTTAAAATCAAAACCTAGCCATCAATATCTACCAATGGAAGAAAAGAATGCTGTCTATACATACAGACAGATAATCTTGTCAGAATAAGAATATGTCCAAAGAAAAATTCAACTATATCTTATTTACCGTACCAAAGATCCATGTTAATGTGTCACTAACTAATCTAAAGAGCTCAGATTATTACTAACAAAATGAACTGTACATCTAAATGTATTAATAAAATGTCTTCTGCCACAGTATTGTTTTCCTTTTTATAAAGTAATTGGACAGGCCAATGGAGAACTATCTTTGAATTGCATGACCTGACCTTGCCAAGTTGAGACTTTATGCACAAAAATTGTTTTTGTGGATACTCAAAAGCTTCGAATTAAAACATAAAACTTATTTGATTATCCAACTATACTATACCTTTCTGTTGTTGATGAAAATAACCTGAACTTAGTCTTAGTTTAAGTCAGTTTAATTTAACAAAAATAGGCTTGTGCTTGTGTTCATGCATGTGAAAATGTATCTAACAGTTTAATTTGCTCTCAAGTGCTTTATAAAAAAATGTTTATTACAAGTAAATGGGAAGGTTATGCTCAAATGATTAATTTTCAGATCTGACAGCTCACATTTGTTTCCTTCTAACTTTCCTTGCGTGATAGATTTCAGTAAAATATTTAAAGTTTCAACAGATACCACTCCCTAAGACATTTTTTTACATTGATTGTAAAATTTACAGTTCACCTTCACTACATTTGCAATGAACACTTTTTTCATACTACTAATAATCCGTGAGAAAAAAAGAAGTTTGGTACTGTATGCATGTAACAACAAAAAACAAGATTCAAAATTAGTCCGTTGATCGTGTGACATCACATTAAACATCAACGTGCCAGCATAGATGCATTCAATTTCAAAAACACATTCACCTTTAGGTGCTAGGTTTGTCAAGTATGCATTTCTTATGCTTCATTACAACTGTTGAACACAGAACATTGGTACACAAACACAACATCTTTTCAATAAAATCTGTGTTCAAAAGGGATCTCATGTTATGCAGTCAAAGATTTTTTTTAAGCTAAAATAAAATAAAACTAAATAGTTAAAAAGTAAATATAATCACTGGCGTACCCAACATTTCAAATATTCTGTCTTTTAGACAAAAAAAAACATTTTTTAAGGAAAAACAGCTTGATGGGAAAAAGACAGTTTCATAATTTTGAATCCAAAATATAACTGAAACTTTTAAAATCAAAGCATAACTACACCATGCTTAGCCGCTCGTAATTACCGAACAAAAAAATACATTCATTTTGTAATGGCTCTTTTCTTTATAGAATATCTGTATGTTTTAAAAATAAAATTATGTTGCATATGTACAAAAACGCATACACTGTAGCAAGAACAGGCAAAATGTCATAAAAAACGGAGTGCTGAGCACACTGAATTCAAGCCTAGTAGTTTAATACATTCCTGTCAAGAGCTTTACCTTTTTCTTCAGAACATGTGCCCAAATACACACTCTTCTGAAGAAACAGAACAATCCAAACCTACTGTATACTACCTTCTTTTAAGAAGAATGTTAAAATAGTCACAAGCAATGCAGTGGTATGTACAGTATAATTACAAACTTGCAAAGTCTACACTACCTTGAATCACAAACTGTATGTTGACCAGTCTAAGAAACCAATTCAGCCAAAGACTGTGGAAAAGTGTCGTGTCCACTTTTCAGAATCAACTTGTAATTGCCTGAAACATAAAGCCCCTTAATCTATTATAGTACTAAGTATTGAATAGTAATTGAAAACAGTGTTGCACTATAACTGCAATATAATGGGAGTGTAATCAATACCGCAGTAATCGGCGGTACAGTAAGCTGTTACTGCTGCACTTGAACAGTATTCAGTTTTGGTATAACCTGGTGGTTCTGTTTGGGGCAAAGTAACAACTAGCACAATTTAAACATTTGGTCTGTAGCTGAAAACACCAACATTGAAAAGAAAGTTCTAACCTAATGTACAATAAAAACTTGAACTGAGTGGCCCTGAGCTAGCTAGAACTCCTAATAGTGCAAACAACGTTGTTGCAGAAAAAAGGCTCTGCAAGGACAGGGAGACAGCACCAGCAAAAGGGATCAGAGGGGGAAAAAAAGCAGAGAGGGAAACTACCATGAGTTCCTGCCACCAGCTTAAAGCTCCTGATCAAGAATGTCTAAGTTCCTGTCCATCCACTGGATGTTGAGTTTGATTGTTTCAATTGCTTCCTGGACACTTCTCATTTGTGATCCCTTGTCCTTTAGTGATACGAGAAAATTCATCACCTGAAACAGGAATAAAATGTCAAAATGATTGCGAAAGTGTGCACAGTTTCTCATTTCAGAAGGTTCTGAGTTAACACTAACCTCCAAAAGCCTTGTTTTGGTTGAAAACTGGTATGTTGCTGTATGGACGATGCTCTGGATAGCAAAGGATCCAAGTGAAAACCTACAATCACACAAGGAAAAATTACACAATTGTTTCCTCAGCAATAGATACCTCTATCAAAAGGTAGAGCTCTCTCAATATCCAGTCTCAATATTTGAGGATTCAATTTATCAGCTCTATCATCTGGAAGATTTTTAATAAGAAACCATTTAATCAGAAATTACAAAGGTTCACTTTAGACTCTTGCTGATATTCCACTGAAAAAAGAGTCCATATTTGTCTAGTAATATTAAAGTAAATTACCAAGCATGATCTCACAGTGGGGATGCAATACCACAAAGAAAATGTTAGAACATATTGTTAAATGTACAGAATTTAGGGCAGCACGGTGGTGCAATGGTACTGGTTGTTTAATTGGCTTCTGGGAACACTGGCTGTGGTGTGAGAGTGTGTGTATGGTGTGAGAGTGTGATGGACTAGTCTCTTATCCAAGGTGTGTCCTGCCTTGCACCTATTGCTTGATGGGACAGGCTCTGTCTCCCCTGTGTCTCTGTATTGGATAAAGCTGTTGGAAAATGGATGGATGTACAGAATTTAAACAAAGGGATGGAACGTTCCATTTTCCACAATGTATTTCTTAGAATCTTGGAATGTTGCGTTTGAATTTGGTCATCAAATAAAACATTACAACACTGATGAATGAAGGAATGTCTTACAATCTCAGGCTAAAAGATTAGCTCCTTGCACCAAGAGCTGTGGGCAAATAGATCAAGTAACCTAAGAAAGTTTAGGCCTTTCACTGGCTTTGTATTCCACAGTCACTCAAGGCCCTGGTGGAACTGGTTTCACTGCTTCCCTTAAAACCACTTACAGCATGAAGATCTTCTAATTTTTAAAAAGCACTAATGATTTCAAAAAGAAAACAGACTATTTTAAAACTGAATTTTGTTGAACCCCAACATATTTCATAACACTCCTACTCACTTTTCTAAGATTTTATCCCAGTTTTCTTTGACAAAGTCCCAGGCATACAGATGCCCTGCATAGCTCTTGCAGACTTCACTGAGGATGAGAGGAAATTCCTGCGTTTGAATATCACTACCCCTTAGGCTGGCCTGTAGCAACCTGTGAAACAGAATATTATCATTATTCCTGTAATTTATCTTTAAATACAACAATCTCTAATTACAAGTATGGTTATTCTATAGACTTCCCATGTTCAGAAATGATGATGAATTTGTATTAGATGCATATAATTTCCACAAATACCAGACAGGTCAATTTGAGCCTGCAAAATAAATAACTTTCTTGTCCTAGGAATACATATGTGATACAGATGCATGTACTTAATATCCTGACATGACCATGGAACACTCCAGACAATTATCACATGCAAATAATAATTGTAATAACTCAACAGAGAGGCAAGGGAACTTAAACACTTCAACACTAATGATGTTTAGACAATATCATAACAGAAAATGATGCAATGATTTTGAACAACATTAATGATTATGTGTCTACATCAGATACTCACAAAGCGTAATGATCTGATTTACATGTTCCTTATTTTACATCACAGGGAGAAAAATATGCAGCTTATTCATCAGTTCAGATTTCAATGGAAGACAGTTATGTTTTCTATCAAGGTCCTAAGAACACTTTGCTTCTTGCCTGACCTTACGTTATATGAGGAGAATAAAGCTTTTTTATCGAGATGATTGTGCACACATAATTCAATCAGCTTTTTCTTAGACTAAGAGTAGAAAAGTGTGGCACAGTGACACAGTGGTTAGTATTTCTGTTTTGCAGTGATGGAGCCCTGATTTCAGTCCTGGAGCTAGGGTGCTATCTGCGTGGAGTTTGTATGTTCTCCCTGTGTTTGCATGGGTTTCCTCTGGTTTTCAGGTTTCAGGTTTTCTCCCACTGTCTAAAAACATACTAGTAGGTTAATTGGCTTCTAGGAAAACTGGCCCTGGTGTGACTGTGTATATGTCTGTGTTTGTGTGTGCCCTGCGATAGACTGGCGTCCAGTCCAGTGTCTAGTGTGTATCCTGTCTTGTGCCCGATGTTTGCCAGATTAGGGTCTGGCATTCTATGCAACCCTGTACTGGATAAAGTAGTTAGAAAATTGAAATAATATCACTTGAATGACTGTTGTGAACACAGTAAAATGGGAGGCACATTAAAGTGAATTTATTTTAGGTTTCTCAGTTATCCTACTGCTTTCGAGTTAGCCTGTTTGTCTGACCCACCATACTATCTTCCTGACGTCTTGTGTGCTTGCCAGGGATTCCAGAATTGTGTGCTTCTCTGCCTCAAACATGGAAAGGTGATAAGCTGAATTTAAGAATTCCCAGCCTTTCTCCGACTGAGCACCAACTGTAAAGACCGTTTTCATGAGATCCCCAGGTATTCTGCAGCAGAGAAACAGAAATCACTCATTTAATCAATCCAATCATTATGACATTTTGTTATAAAGAACACAAAGAATATATTGTTTCACATTCCTAATATGAATAGTTATTTCACTTCCAAATGCTTGGTTTGTCATTCATTTGAGGAGCAAAATTCAGTTCTGTGAATCAAACACTCCTTCAGCACAATATAAACTTGAGAAATTTCAATATCTGGAAGTATCTCATCCTTGATTCCTTTTACCTCATAGTTCCGTTAGATTGTGTCCAGTTCCTGAACAGGGCTTGTGCATTTTCAATGCATTTTGCCTCTTGATAATGGCAGGCAGTTTCAAGCAAGGAAGACCTCAGCATTCGTTCAGAGACAGATCCCTCTTCGTCCCATGTTTGGCTACGTATCAAACTTCCAAAAAGCTTCAGAATCCGACCCTATTGAATAGTTATGAAGCAGATATCATGAGGAAAGAAGTACAACATAACAATGTACACTAAAGCACCCTGTAAGAAAAGAAAAATGTCAACTTATTATACCAGAATTTCCTAAAATGTTTAGTGTGGAACATGAATTCACTCTAAGTTTCCACAAACCAAATCTGTCACCTTCACAGAGGTTATTTAAGATTTTTTATCTAAAAACATTGTTTTTTATATTAATTCTATCACAAAATTCAGAGATCAGGTCTCATGTATCTCATCAGCACTCCTGATATTTAAAGCCTGCAGAAAAAGTAAACATGACCAAAAATGTCTGAATTCAGCTTCTAGAACAGTAAATTACAATTCAGAAACAAACAATGGCTGTTACAGTGTAGCTCCTTTGGTAATAAATCTTGTGTTCAGAAAAATGACTTAATTTCTTCCTCAGAATAGCTACTGAGCTTTTGTCCAAGGCCCAAGAGTTGCACAAAACATTTATTTACAGAAATAAATAACATTTACTTGTATGGCTACAGGCTAAAGCTTCATTATTTGGACTTGACTCTTTTAGTATTGTAAAAATGTTCCACAAACATACAATGGTGTAACGTTTATTGTCGTTCTTAACAATATATTGGCATGGTTGTTGATTACCGTCTCACTGTTCATGGAATTCATTTTTGTAACATTAGAAATTAATGGGAATTTTCTAAATACAGAAGATTTAGCTGTAATAACTGATGTTATGCCACCATTGCTTTGATACCTTATTACTTGTAAATTCATGTTTGTTTGTTTTCAAATTATATATGTATTGTATTGTCTTATTCTCTCCAAATACTGCTTTTAGACATCAGTAAAACAACAAAATACTTGTGACTTACAACAGGTGGCAACATGTTGTATAATGTACTGTATAATTTTACATAACTACAGAATCAATGACAGTACCCAAGGCTAACATATTTGCCTTTCATTAGCAACAAAAGTCCTGACAATCTAAGGCAGTTTAAAAAACATGCCTAAAGACCTAACAACACCAGAATTCAAGAAAACATCCACAGGTGATGTTTTTAAAAAACCCCGCTAAATTCTAGCTTTAATTTCATTGCCATACGCATTATTTTCAGCACCCTCCTGGTGAGGTTGTTCTCCTGCTCACCGTCTCTTTCTTTTTCAGATAAAAGACTTGTTCTTCAACAAGATACTAATCCAATTTTCACGTCAATGAAAGCACTGCACTTTTTAAAACACTGAGTACTGAAGAAAAACTTAAAATACATTTTTTAGACTTCACCCACAACCCTCAGGTATCCAAGACCAGGAAGCTGGAAGTCAGTAAAACATAACTTCCAGAGTACATTTCTGTTTCTTTCTGAACTACATGATGTGATTAACCTCAGCTAAATTTTTTCAGCTAAAGGGATACATTTAGGAAACTGCGGTGCAGTGCAAAGGAAATAAGTGTGCGACCTTAATGTGAGTACACAGGGTCACAAGGCCTTCCCTGTACATTGGATCGAAATTATGTCACACACACATTGGGAGTGAATGTTGTTTAATAGCATGTGCAGCCAAGCAAGCAGGCTTTAATTGCATATTGATGTTTCTGCGAGGGCCTTCAGCTCTAGATAATTCAGTAACAGTAACTGGGAATTCTAATTAATTGGGAACTATTGAATAAATCAGTAATTAGGAATACTGTACTGTGACATCAGCTCAACAGAAACACATTTTTGTTGGACACGATATTTAAGCAACCAAGGCTTACAGTGTTAAAAAACACACAAAGAGAATAAACGTATATAATGAGAATTAGGAAATAAAGCTGTACATGTGTTTTGAATGTGTTATATGAAGAACGCCGATTTGTATCCATGCACATCGAGCCTCGACAAAACTACAGAAGCCCCAACCCTGATGTTCTTTTGCAAAGCAATATCGCACTGTGACTTAAAATATAATAAATAAACCTAACCTGAAAAGGTGCCACAGCTGCTCAAAATCATTTCTAAATGAATTCCATGGAGTTTATTCACATTCTGGGTTTTATGTGACAAAGCTTTAATGAGGTACCAGAAGTCCAAATCATCCATCTTTTACATATTTAGAGTACATGTTTAAGTGTAACCGGCTTTCTTACCTTCATCCTTCCAGCTAACGCCCACAAACCTCTTTTATCCAACAACCTGTAGATGCGATTGAGCTGTGACAAGGCTTCTGTCACAGGAGCCGTTTCCTTCTCCTTTCCAAGATAGGCAATAAGATTCAGAACCTGCCTGAAGGATACCCGCCCTAGCCTTCAGAAACAGAAAATAAGAAGAGTTTTTACAAATCTGCCTTTGGGGATTTTTCCTCTACATGCTGAGTTATAAAATTCCGTATTATCAGAGATTTTCTGAGCACCTCAAATTTGATTTTCCCAGACATGAGCCATGAAAAGGACAGCTTTGCGGTCAAAATAAAGTTAAGCCCTGTGTTAATGTGTTCAGAAAAACATACAGGCAAGGAAGCATTGGTCATACTGCCTGGGACCACAGCGTTTAACAGGTTAGACCAAATACGAGCTATAGCACTGTGTGTGAAAGTGGGATTTTATAGGATTTAAACTAAACAGAATTTTAATATGATAATAATTAAATATTGGACTTTTTCAGAAAAGAATTTTAAGTGCAGGTCTTACACAGGACTGAATGCATGTACGCATGTCCTGTATGCTAATAATACATTATTTTCAACTGATTGAAAAGCATTACTATGAATGTACTTTTAAAAAATTAATTATATTATAGGCATTTATTGGAGTTTTCAAATCTCCTGTTCCTAACATGGTTATCACAAAGTTTAAAAATATCCTGATACATGAAGATTATTGTAATTTGACATTTTAATTTGGATTATTGTTATTTGGCATCAAGGAATCAGTATGCATTAGCTTATTAATGGAGTTGTAAAATCCAAATAGTGCAACAAAATGAATTAATCTAATTAGGGAAAAGGCCAATACACATTCAGGTATATTGCAGTGAATATACATAATCTACAGTACAGTCTCAAAATCTGCTATTTGGACATTGTATTTGTGATTTGGTCTAGCCGATGGGGTCTTGTATGGAAGAAAAGCAGAGCAGAATGAAACTGAGCTGAAGGCCGTATACTGCAGCTTTCAAATTAACAGACACCCACATCTCAGCAAAAATCCCCCATGCTTTGAAGCTAGAAATGTTTAAACTGCCAGGTGTTACACACTTTACCTAAACTCTAAGAGACACTTCATAGTCACCTATAGCTATAACAATAACTTTTTATGAAGTATATAAACTTTATATAGTAAGAACAAGCATGTCAAAAAATGTTTCCAAAATAAACATCGCGAGTTACGTAATTTAAGTAATTTTAACTTTGATGCATAAAATGTTTATGAAGAAGGTGCGATACTGTTGTGTACTTGGTTTTTTATATTTAGCAACAGCTACCATCTACTGTATGTACATTAGGTAAATTTCACGTATGAGATGGTATGGATTTAAAGCCACTACCGTACAGTATGTGTGAAATATATTTTTTCATAATCAAAATTTAAAATTCAAATTGTTTCCTGATTACTTGTTGCTGAAATGTGCATTACATTAGGTATATATTATGTTATACTTCTGTTTTTTTTATTTTCAGCTACCAAAATTTCCCTTTAGTTCAAAATTAAATTCTATATTAATATTGCATGGTAAGTGGATTTAAACATGCACAGTAGAGAAACAGATTAAATGAAGCAATCATTTCACTAACATCCAATGCACCACAAGTGCCACCTATTAATCATCTTTGGCCAGTGAATTACATAACGCAACATGCCAGGGAACACCTTTGGAAGAAAGAACACATGGTCTGAGTGGCTGCATCTGTATGCACAAATAAAATGATACGTTTTCATGCTCAGTAAATATATGTCCGTATAAAAAACACTCTAAATGTACCTTGAAAGTGCAAATATGTTGTTGACCAGGCAGGCTCGGTCCTGGTAGGTCAGAGCTTCATGAGTTTCTTTCAGCATCTTGATTAAGGCCTCCCAACCTTCTACGCCATAATCCACAATGTAGAATCCTTCATTCTTGAAGTTAAACTTTAACCATGCCACATTTGCAGGGAGTGTAAGTGTTGCTAAGAAAGAGGAGAAAACCCTTTATGACACCTTTATGTTAACTTTATAACACATTCATGACATTCACCTGTACATTGTAATAACAAGTAGATTAAAACCTCTTGCTTTGTCTCTGACAGAAGTATAGCACACAATCTACAAGAGCACTAGGAAAAGACAATCTTATACTGTTCTTTTTTACCAGGAAAAATATACTACAGGAAAAGTATTTACAAGTTAGAAAATTCAGATGTTAAACCTCATCCAAAGACAACAAAAAAATGTTCAACAAGAAATGTGTTGATATTGTAAAAATGAATTAAATGCTTTGAAGGGTATTTTATAAGAACCCAAAATATAATTTACAAAATAATAAATGAGCTTACCGAATTTATCCTTCATCACAAAAACTTGTTTGCAGGATGAAGAATTACTACAACTGTCATTGACATATGTCAGTGGAATATGCCACTGGTAGCTGCAAGCAAAACAAAAGAGATTTTTTTGCCGTACAAGGTTCCAAACTGAGCATGAAAGACAAGCTGCACTATTGTGGCAAGTGTACAAGAGTGAACTGGCAACCTAAGAAGTCCAGGCCTGTAATAAGATTTTACCAAGACTTAAGCTTAACTTTTTAGCACAAATGAGCAGTTGGTTTCTAAAACACAAAGCAGATAACACAAGAGCAAACTATGTGGCCTTTCATTTAAAACTGAGAACAGCATATGCCTCTTTACCCAAAGGCTTGTGGGAGCATGAAATAAGCTTCCCAGCTATGTTTCTGAAGCTGACACTGTGGGTTCCTTCCAGAAAAGCCTGGATTACATCTTTGGATCATTTAGCTATTACTGTAACTACAATATGACCTATACAGCCTTGTCTCACCTGTAACAGTTCTAATGTTGCTGATACACCTGATCTGGCCTCAACTGACTGTCCAATTGAATTCTATGTTACACAGAACTATTCAAAAGCAACTAGTTTTCAATCAGAAAACATCTGTATTTCATTTATTCCCATTGGCTAACTAGCAGTTATCTTGATTACCAACTTTGTGGAGTGGTGTCATCTTAACCATCTCCAGCTAAACACCAGCAAGACCAAAGAAATGGTCATGGACTTTCAAAGGAATACGTCTCAGCTGAATCCTGTTTCCATCCAGGGTGAGGACATAGAGGGGGTGCAGTCCTACAAGTACTTAGGGGTACACCTGGATGATAAGCTGGAGTGGTCTGGTAACACTGACGCCCTGTACAAGAAAGGTCAGAGCCGACTCTATTTTCTTGGGAGGCTCAGATCCTTTGGTGTGTGTGAAACCCTGCTACACGTTTTTATGAATCAGTGGTGACAGCGGCCATCTTCTATGCTGTTGTGTGCTGGAGCAGCAGCATCATGACAAGAGATGCAAATAGGCTCAATAAACTCATCAAGAAGGCTGGCTCTGTGTTGGGGTTGAGCCTTGACCTCCTGGAGGTGGTGGCTGAGAGGAGAATGCTGACCAAGCTCACAGCCATCATGAACAACACCTCTCATCTGCTTTATGGGACTGCTATTGGGCAGCCGAGCAATTTTAGCAACAGACTGCTCCAGCTACGGTGTTCAAAGGAACGTTTCCGCAGGTCTTTCCTCCTGGCAGCTGTCAGGGTGTATAATGCTGCCCTAGGCTAGGACTGTTAGCCCTTCATTTGCTTATCTATGGACAGCATGTTGCTCCATTGTACTTTTTGAACAATCAATCTGTATAAACCTATGCACATTTTGCACATATTCTATTGTTTTTACAGTGACTAAGATCATCATATTTTGCACACACTTATGTATTTATTTTTATTTATTTATTTTATATTTATTTTGCATAATTTGTAGTCTATTCTTTTTTTGCTTGTCTTGGGCTGGACTGCTGTAACACATCAATTTCCCTTCGGGATCAATAAAGTCTTATCCATCTATCTTACAACAATCAATTAAAGTTCAAGAGACATGTCCTTTAAGCTGCCCAAGTAGAACAGTTTAGACCCAGCACACTTCCCTTGAAGGATTTGACATAGTTTAATGTAAACTGTGCAAGAGAAGATTATGGGACAGGCCTTCTTAAATGAATGCATAGCACATTATTCATGTGTACAGCCACTGTGAGGCACTGTGAGAACAGTAAAACTGCTTCTGTATTGTGCTTTGTTCAAAATAAAGAATATTTACAAAGCTCTTTCAGCTTAAATTTAAACTCTTCAAAACTAAATTTAAAATGAAAAATGTACAGCATTGTACAGAAGGTGTAGGTTTTTGATAACGCTAATCACCTTCATTTTTGGAAACTGTGAATTTACCTAAATGTCTGGAATACGTGAAAAGAACTAACAAAATAAAATTGTGGTTACCGCAGCCTATCCCTGAAAATATAAGGTGCAAGGCAGGATTACACTAAGGATGGGAAAAAACTAAGCAAATATGCACACAATTAAGAAACGTTTAATTTAGCCTCCCCATAAAAAAATGGGAAGAAATGAGACTGCACAAGTGATCCCATATGGTCATGATTTTCAAGTAGCTACACACCCTGTGACTGCACACCTGGAAGAATGAGAGAGCTGGCCTCAGTTTATAGTTTAAGTACATTTGTATTTTGAATAATATAAATTACAGCATTCTTGCCTCACAGCTCTGGGGCCATGGTTTTAATTTCGAACCTTGGGTGCTATCTGCATGGAGTTTCTATATTCTCTCCATAGTTTGTGGGTTCCTCCTACAGTCCAAAATACATATTTCTAGGCTGAGGGAAATTTAGGCCCGGGTGTGAGTGTGTCCGTGTCTGTATTTGTTACTGTGTCCGTGTGTGCCCTGTGATGGACTGACGTTCCATCCAGGGTGTATCCTGCCTTACACCTGTTGCATGCATGGATAGGCTCCAGGGCCCCCACAAGCCTGAAGTGGATACAGTGGTTAGGAACTGGATGGAGAATATCAATCGCACATTTTCCAAATATAGTCTAACCTGCTTATTTCAACATATATTCCTTTGTTATTGTGTTAAATCAAATAACCAATAAGCTTGGGTTACCTGGACTGCTGTGTTGCGTTCTCAGAATCCACTGTGAGGAGAAAGTGTTCTTGAGTAAGTTTCACATCTTTGCCATTCCTCGTCACATTTACCAAAGGAAACCCTTTCTGGAGTGTCCACGTGTTCATCATGTCAGTAACACTGAAATTTGCCTTTGCAGACTGAGAAAAAGGAAAGAAAAAACAAGAAGAAAAATCAAGAAGATCTATAATGAAGTTTTAAATGAACAGTGGAACATGAGCCAGAGGATACAAGTGGAAACTATGAGGAAGTAAAGCGAGAGCTCATACTGTTACAACAATCACTTTCTGTATAACAGTGAGAAACTGGTCTATCAAAAACTATTTTAATTATTATGAAAATTTAAGTACTGCAAATTTAATTATGCTTAGCTTCAGGGCAATTACAGCTCATTGATGACTTTGAGACCAGTTCAATTGTCACTGATGAACTGATGAAGCATGTAATTAAAGCTTATTTGTAATATCAGTATAGTACTTATAACAATGTCACAGATGCAGTTAGTATAAGACAACCGGATGGAAACACTTATTCTAATAGTTAAAATCACAAAAAATTAAAACATGTATAATGTACAGAAGGCAGTCTGCAGATTTACAGTTGAGGATAGATTAATGCATAATTCAGGTATTACAGAATTTGATTGTATAAATTCATCAGGGAAAGCAAGGATCGAATCTTAATTGTAAATTTTTTAAAAAAACAAAACATGCATTGATTAAACTTTTGCGGTGCTAGACTTAGTTATAAACGTATCTACCTGCTCCAAAACCGAAAGCAAGATAGCTCCAGTTAATATTTACTTCCCTTAAAAAATTAGATACTATTCTTTTCCAACCAAAAGAAAGTTTATTCCTGTTTTCTTCACAACTGTCTGTTATGTTTTTAATGAATCCTGCCTGTGAGGTGATTTTGTTCACTAGGGTAATATTGTGTAGAAGTCATTGGTGTATGCAGGTAAGCCTCTGTATTAAATTATTGTATTACTTACAGTACGTTATAGGCTATAGTAGGTGACTATAGAAGTGTCTCTAAGAATCTAGATAAAATGTGTAACACCTGGCAGTATAAATATTCCAGTTAGGTCTCTGGGACACCTCATTTGTAAATTTATGCATGAGGTAGTTTGTATGTTTGTGCTGTGTGTAGTTTAGTGTGTCACTGTCCTTGTCAATAAATATCTATTGAATGAAGTGTGCATAAATTATTACTCTTTTCACCAAAGCTGTGCCAGAGAACAAAAGAATCTATGTGCTTCTAACTTTACTAACCACTTGGGTATATTCTTGACAAAATCATTACAAGTTGGTTATTGTTTCCTGCACTC